CGGCTCGGGGGCCCCAGCCACGCGGGACGCCGGCTCCGGCCCCCCGGCCCCGCACCTTGCAGCCTTTGCAGCAGAGCCCGTCACTGCACATGGCGTCGTGGGTCAGCGTGCACTTCTTGCAGCAGTTGCCCCCGCTCTTCGCGCACTCCTGCCGGGACAGCGGCCGGCACGGCACATCAGCCACCCGGCAATGCCGGCAGCCCTGGCATGGTCACGGCGAGCAGACCCCAGTCCCCGCTCACCGCCAGTGAGCCGCAGTCGCACTCCTCTCCCGCCTCCACGAAGCCGTTGCCGCACTCCGGAGGGTCCAGGAGCTGCCGGGACCGAGGAGGTGCTGGGGGGGCCCCCGAGCTGGGTGCTGCCACAAGCCCCCCGAAAAGGGCATCATGTCCCCAGGGGACGGCGGGACCCCCAGACCGCTTGCCATCAAGCGTGAGGGTCCGGTTCTGTCCCCCGCTGGGGACACCGGGTTTGATGCCAGCGCCGTTACCTTGGACATGGCAGGGGCTGGGGGAGACCGCGAGTCCCGAGGGACCCTCGGAGCCGCCCCTGGGGCATCGCTCGGCGGCTGCCGCCGCCGTCCTGCAGGAACTGGTTGTACTCGTCTATGCTGCAGCGGGAGAACTTCCGCGGGAGGTAGTACCTGCGGGGCGGGGGACACCGTCACCCCCCCGCGCTGCCCAGGTGGCATCGCCAGGCACAACTGTGCCCAAAATGGGGCAGGACCCTTGCCGATGCCCCCACCAGGAGTGGTGACATGAGGCACATGGGGGACGGTGGCAGTGCCACCCCAAGCGGGCACCCACCCTGTGTCCTCCATGATACAGCCCAGCCACGAGTCCGGACAGCGGCAGTCCCCTGGGAGGAGAGGAGACGGGCTGGGGGTGCCGGCTGTCCCACCACCGCCTTGGTGGCACTGCGGTGTCCCCCGACCCGTCCCCATCCCGTCCCAGGGGGTGGCAGGTACCTGCCGCCGCACGGTGCTTGTTCCACATCATGCCCAGGTTCTGCCCCAGCGTCTGCGCTAGCGTCACCGCCATGGCTGCCACGTTGCCGTACTGCCCGGGAGGGAGCGGGGGGTCACCGGAGGGACCCCCCGCGTCCCCAGCCCGCTCTCGTGGGGGGACTCGCCGCACCCACCTCGTTGACGCCCCCGGCGCGGGCCGGTGAGCAGATGCCCCCCACGAAGGCGGTGCCGCTGCGGCTGCTCTGAAACGTCCGACCCCTGCGAGGAAGAGGACGGTGGGGACGGGGGACGGTGGCTCCTGGCCCCGGGGAGGTGACGCGGCCGCGGCGCTCACGAGAAGAGGTGGACGGTGTCGCTCTGCTCCACCAGCCCCTCACGCCGGTACTTGACGAACTCGTTCAGGGTCTCCAGGGAGTCTTCCCCCATCCGGATCCGGTCCTCCGAGGCCCAGGTCTCCATGGCCACCAGCACGATGCGGGTGTTGAGCTGCTCCTTGTAGATCTGCGGGGGCGAGGGGATAGCGCTGGGGACAAACCTCTGCCCCAGGACAAACCCACCGGGTGCTGGGGACCAATCCCCCAGGGACAAACCCCCCAGGGACAAACCCGTCAGGTGCCAGGGACCAACCCCCTGGGGACAAACCCCCTGGGGACAAATCCCCCAGGAGCCAGGCACAACCCAGCCCCACAGGGACAAACCCCCCAGGGGCTGCAGATGAAAGCCCTTGGGGACAAACCCTTCAGGCACCAACCCAGCAGGTGCTGAGGACCAACCTCCTGGGGACAGACCCCCCCCCCCGGGACAAACCCACCGGGGACCGGGGACAAGCGCCCCTAGGGACAAACCCAGCAGGTGCCAGGGACAAACTCCCTGGGGACAAAGCCACCAGCTGCGGGGGACAGTCCCCTCGAGGGCAAACCCCCAGTGGGACAAGCCTCTGGAGGATAATCCCCCTCCCAGGGACAAACCCCCCCAGGTGCTGGGGACAAACTCCCTGGGGACAACCTCCAGCAGGGACAAACCCCCTCCCAGGGACAAGCCCCCCAGCTGCCAGGGACCAGCCCCCCCAGGGACGAACCCCCTCTCACCATGTCGGCCAGGTTGACCACGGACTTGGCGAAGTTGCTGGTGAGAACCACGGACTTGCGGAGCTGCAGGAACTGGGGGGGCACCAGGGACCAGGTTGGGCCGGGGGGGCCACCCTGACCCCCCACCCACCGACCCCAGGACCCCCCCGCGCTTACCAGCTGGTGGTCGTTCACCACCGCCAGCTCGATGTACTTGGTCTCGCTGTGAACCGTGTGCTGGGCTCGGCGTACCTGCCGGCGGGGGCCCAGGGCTTTGCGGCGGGGCCCGCCCGCCAGGCCCCAGCGAAGGGGCTTTTTGACCCCTTTTCTGGCTGCCTGCGAGGGTATTTGGGACGCACGGAGGGGGAAAAGCCGCCCGGGTGGGCTCGGGGATGGATCCCCTCCGGCTGCGGCGTCTCTGGGGGGTGCCCAGGGTATCCCCGAGCCCGCGCAGGAGCAGCATCCTGCAAACACCTCCCCAGCACCCACGAACCAGCCCGGCTGCACCTGCGGCAGAGCAGCCACCCCAGCGAGGCTGAGCCGGCAGCTGGAGGCCCACTGGGGTCAAGCATCCCCATCCCCTGCCCCGTGTCCCCTGCCCCATGTCCCATGTCCCCTGCCCCATGTCTCCCGTTGTCCCTGCTAACCTGCCGCCGCCGCCGCAGCTTTGGTAACCCGCCCGCGACGCGCTGGTTCAGTGCAGGGAAGAGGCAGCCTGGAGGGAAGGGACAGAGCTGGCGGGGCACAGGACACGGGGCCACCGGGGCCACTGTCACCAGACCTTGGGGATGAGTGCTGGCTCTGCGCAAAGGCTCACCCGCTCGGGAGCAGCTGGGGACGCGCTGGATGACGTGTGGTCGAAGGCCCTGCCATGGGGAGACAAGTGTCACAGCCACGCGTGGACGTGACAGCATGGAGGGGGGACTGCCACGTGCCTGTGTCCCCAAGGCTGTCCCCGAGCCGCAGCCAGACCCATAATGCTGCAGTGGGGAAACTGAGGCAGGCACATGGTGGGTCCTGGTGCCACCACTCACCTGCCCGTGCTCTGCGCCCACCTGGGGCTCGATCAGGTAGGTGGCTCGGCCATCTGAGAAGACCCCGCTGCCAAGAGAGACGGGGGGTGACAGGGTGCAGGGGGTGCAGCCCCCCCGATCCCCCCTTTTGGCCCACCCGGCGGCAGGGGGCTACTCACCGCAGGCCCTGGCAGCTGGAGAGAGCCACGAAGGAGCGGGGCTGCCCCCGGATCCGGCCCTGGTAGTAGCAGTGCTCCCCCGCGCCCTGTGGCGGCCCTGGGGCTCGCTGCCTGTCACCCTTGGGGTGCGCCTGGCGCCCACGGCACCCGGGCGGGCACCCACCGCCGCCCCGGGCAAGGCTGGCAGCACGCGCCAAAGGCCCCTGGGGCTCACCCATCGCCAGCACCGCGTCAGGTGCATCCCCCCGTCACCCACTGGAGCAGCACCCCGAGGCCTGGGCTGGGCACCCCAGGGGCAGGGGGGCACCCCAAGGCCACCCAGATGGAGACGCTGGTGGCCACGCCTGGACTTCTGCGGGATTTATAAATCTGCCACCATGACCCCAGAGCTGGCACGGCACGGCACGGCACGGCACAGCATGGCACAACGTGGCACGGCATGGCATGGTGTGGTACAGCATGGCATGGCATGGTATGGCACAGCACTGGCATGGCATGGCGTACCACAGCGTGGTACGGCACGGTACGCAGCTTACCGTGCTGT